TTGTGTAAACCACTCCTGAGTTACCAGGGCTGGAGCTTAACTGAAATTCCATAAAATTCCTGTGATCAATCCAGGAAGGTCGACCACCCATTTCCCTAATTTAGGTTTTCGGTGAGTTTGCATTAGTATTAGGGGGGGGAAAGTCCATTTAAATTGTAATGAAAACTGTCTAAAACTCACCACAGTGCTGACAGCTAAGCCATAACCTTTTATTTTGACTCTATAACTGGAGACTTAACTTTCAAAACAAAATTTAAATCTCCCAACGCCCATTATCTGACATTACAAGACTTCACGTACTCAACCTCAATACCCAGAAGAAGAGAAAAAATTATACTTAAAGCTGGAGAATCAGGTCACATGGTTCCAGCAGTCATCCTACACACCTCAGACTTTGGAAAAAGGAAAAAAGTTTCGGTCGAGGACCATAACCTAGATTATCGCAGGGTTTCCAGGGTTCATCTGGGCAACAGAAACTGAAAGAGAAAAGAGAATACTTAAGCTCGTCTTTCTCTTAAACAAGCATAACTGTCTTCAAGTTGGTAGGACCAATGGATGTTGGTCTCTGGGTCATCACCTTCCAGGACTTTCTTCACTCTAGAGGGATGCACCAAGGCTTTTATGCCTGCAAATTTCAAAGAAGTGTGAGTGGTTAGAAAAACATCCTAATTACGAGGACATTCTATGAGTTGAGCTTGGGTATCTCCACTCTGACAGGTCTTAAGCCCTGATCACCAGGATGAAAGGATGCAATCTGGAGGCAGAGAGGCCCTAGAAGGTACGGAGTTATGAGTCAAAGCTGAAAGCTCTTTGCCCGTATTTTTTGATTCTGCATTCTTTTTCTATGTCTGGTGCAGCGTTCAAAATTGAAGCCCGGCAACTACTTCACTTTTGCTTGAATTTCAGGAAATTAAATGTATTAAGGAGGGCAAAGGGTGTGTGGAATAAGGAGAAAAGATATCCCAAGATACATGCTATCAGTTACGTTTATGTTGGAAAATACCTACGTGACATTCAAATATAACTTTTAAAATTCCATTTCTTTGAACCCTATGCTGAACATTTGTCTTGTCCTCTTGGGCTGCAGCTTGGATGAGATTAGGTAGCATCTTTTGCACAATACTGAGAGCAGACAGCCTCACACCTCGGCTCATAGCAAAAGGCAAAAGCAAATTCTGGAGTCTGAAAACTGAACTTCTTTTGTATAGTCACCCCCTCTATCAGAACTGGGGCAAGTGTCAGCTGGGGTGACCAGGAAATTCCGTAGGTAAACATGGGCTCCGCAGGCTGGGTGTGTCCTCTGTTGCATCAACCAAGGTCTAATGCATTGAGACTGATATTTACCAGCACAAGGCAAAACCCACAGGGTTTCTGGAAAGATTTTCATGACCACTGACACACCATCTTCCAAGGGTTCCCTTCTACTTCTCCAAATCCCTTCTCTGGGCTGCCTAAACCCTGTCCTGTTCTATGAAAATATCTGCAGATTTAAGTCTCCTTGACTCTCCGCCACTGTAAACTCTAAAGCTGGGAAGAACTCATCTTTAAGGCACCTTCGGTCTTGATTGATTCCCTCCTTATATCCGAGTGCTCTGACACATGAATGTCATGTTAATCATCTACTTCCAGACTATCTGGGTTGATGTCAAAGTACTATAAGCTCAAACAATCCTTTCAAGAAACTCAGGTGGTGCTCATGGACCTTTTGCTGGAGTTCTACCTTACCCAACCTCCTTTGCTTAGGAATTCCGTGCCACAGTCCCGATAAGCACCTCCTACGATATTCCAGCCTTTCCATTCCATTTTGGGGGTCCCATTAGGATCCACCACTGGGACAACCTCTTCAGGTTCCAGGGTTTTTTAAAATCTCGCTGGTGGAGACGACGACGACGACGACGACGACGAGCCTCCCTCCTCATTTGCCTTCATCAAAACCATTCTCTGCTCACCCGATGTTAATTAACAGGGTTAGTAACACGGACTGTGCGTCTGCCCGTCTACAATGGGAAACAAAAATAGAGGCAAACAAGTCAGCCATCCTTTCAGGATCCTGCTGGTGTGGAGGGACAGGATCTTTCCAATTCAGGAAGCCCTCCATAGCCAACAGAGGCTGGCAGGGTGCCCCTGTTCCCGCAATCCACACAGTGGGGAGTGTCCTATTGCAGGGCAGCTCCTTTGGCCAAGCTGGGCGCCCCATCTGGTGTGAGAAGCCATTAGAGTCCTACCCCGTGGGGGGCGGTGCAGAGAGTGGGGGTAACAAGGACGGAGGAGCCGCTGCAGCCCCCACAAGAGGGGTTCTGGCCTTCCGAAAGGGGTTCTCTGCTGGCGGGTTCAAAGCTTCCAGTAAATGACGGCCCTGTTTTCCTGTCCCCCGCCTTGCACAGCTAGGAGGGCGAGGGGAAGGCCGCGACCCTCTCCTGTGGGAGCCTTTGCTAAGCCTAAGGCCGGGAGGCCGGCCGGAAGTCGCCCAGCGGTCCAAGGCGAGGGTGTGCACCCCTCTGCAAGCAAGTCAGCGCCCCAAAGGAGGCCTCTGAGCAGATTCCAGAAAGCGGGCCCCACAGGCAGCGCCCGGGAACAGGAGCACCCGCTGCACGCCGGGCCGCCACGGAGCCCGAGTCCGCGCTCGAGTCACCCGCGGCCGTGCGGAGAGAAAGCCGAGCCCCTCATTAAAGCCAAAGATCCCGCCAGGGCCCCGCGGTCGCCACGCTCCAGGGACCAAAATCGGGAAGGGCGCTGGGGCCGGCCAGGCGCGGGGCCCCAGTGGTCCAGGGCAGCCACTGGGGAAACGGCGGGGGCTGGGGGAGCCCTCGCGGCCGGGGCTCGGGGCTCGGGGCTCAGGACACAAGCCAGAAGCAGACACCCGGGGACGAGGGGAGAAGGAGGAGGCGACAGAGTTAACTGGCCAAAGGTAACGCAGCAGCGCGCACCGGGCCACGGGCGGCGGCAGGCAGCATCAGACCAAGGCCGCCGGCGGGCGCCGTTATCTGTCGATCACGGCCGCGTAGCCCCGCCCCTAGCACGTCCCCTCGGAGAAGGGCCCATGGGACTTGTAGTCCAAGGCGGCGTCCCCCCGCAACGGAGGCGAATCTCCCACAGCCCTACTGTGTACTGCTATGGCCCCTGTATTCGTTACTTGGGTTTGCTCTACTCGAGAAGCCGAGGTGGCGGCAGCACTCGCTTCACTAGAGCTCTCCCAAAGAGCGGGGCGCGGGCTGCACTGACCTGGCAGGCGCGCGGGGTTCGCTACCGGCGCATCCCTCAGAGCGGCTCAGCTCCTCTGTGGTCCCAGCAGATGGCGGAGCGCAGCCAGAAGTCAGCCCTTTATTCCAAACCCAACGTGGGCTCCCTGGCCCTGGGCTCCGCTGCCGTTTACTGCAAGCGGAGACCCACTGCCTTGTCAACCCGCTTTTTGCTCTGTTTTTTCCCTTTCCTAAAATGCTTGTGCGTCCGCAGCACTCCCCGCGGGCGCCAGCTCACCTCAAAGATGGCCTCGGGGAGTCCGCAGCTGGCTCCGTCTCCTCCGCTCGCGCCTGGAGCAAGGAGGGGGTGGGGGGAGGGAGACAGGCGCGGGCTTCCCGCCCGGCCGCCTCCGGTTTTCAATTTGGTCCGAAAGGGACGGGCCGCCCTCGCGCCCTCCCGCCACGGAAAGCTATTCCCTAGACATGGACTTCCATTTCCAGGTCGTGTCCGGCGACGGCAGAGACGGCGCGAGCCGCGGGCCTGACGGGTCGGGGGCCGCGAGGCGGGACAGGGCCCAGGACGTGAGCACGCCCACCCGCCGCGACCCGGTGCTGCGAAGGCGGGCTGCCGAACAGCGAGCGCTGCGGTGTTCTGTGCAGAAAGCAAGCTGCCTTCCGAAAAGCTTTTACTTTTGCTGCCCAGGGCGCAAACGCTACCGCCTCGTGCCTGCATTTGCAAAATGTTTTAAATTACGCATTGCAAACCTGGGACACTTAACTGAATTCCTAGATGTTTAACCAACCTCATGGCAAGAAAACCTGCGAACTCCTGTTGAAACTCCAACTCCCGAGGTTTCTAAATATCGCCACGACCAAAAGTTCTTTAAAACCACAAACTGCATCGGTAATACATACAAAACGCAAGCCTGGAGAAAACCCCAACCTCCCCGTCGCCCCCCTTTACCCAAAAAACAAAACAAAAAAAACCCTCTCAAATTAGAGACTGGAATAGTGAAGCAACTCTATTGTGAGAAGTGAGTGGCTCTGAAAAGAGCCTTTGGGGTTCCACAGCGCCTAAAATTAATTTACTTGGAGCTGGTGTACTTGGTGACGGCCTTGGTGCCCTCGGACACGGCGTGCTTGGCCAGCTCCCCGGGCAGCAGCAGGCGCACGGCCGTCTGGATCTCCCGCGACGTGATGGTCGAGCGCTTGTTGTAGTGCGCCAGGCGGGACGCCTCGCCCGCGATGCGCTCGAAGATGTCGTTGACGAACGAGTTCATAATGCCCATGGCCTTGGACGAGATGCCCGTGTCGGGGTGCACCTGCTTCAGCACCTTGTACACGTACACCGAGTAGCTCTCCTTGCGGCTGCGCTTGCGCTTCTTGCCGTCCTTCTTCTGCGCCTTGGTCACGGCCTTCTTGGAGCCCTTCTTGGGCGCGGGCGCGGACTTGGCCGGCTCAGGCATGGCGAGCAACAGATTAAGGAAAATGAAGTGCCAGGGCCCGGCGGCACCGCCTTAAATATACAGCCTTATGTAAATGAGGTGGACTGGCGCTCCCCGTGATTGGTGCTTCCTCTCCGGTGACGCCACCGCGCCGGCTTCACCCAATCGACACACGCATGCCCCATCGTCGCGCCCCCATTGGTGCAAACGAAAATCTCACAGTGGCCAATCGCACAGCTCCTTTTTCGCGCCCCGCCACCACTATAAGTAGCTTAGGTCGGCCTCGCGGGCGTGAGGGCGTCCCGTGCGCGTTGGTGTTCTTGCTGACATGTCCGGACGCGGCAAGCAGGGCGGCAAGGCGCGCGCCAAGGCCAAGACGCGCTCCTCGCGGGCCGGGCTGCAGTTCCCCGTGGGCCGCGTGCACCGCCTGCTGCGCAAGGGCAACTACGCGGAGCGCGTGGGCGCCGGCGCGCCGGTGTACCTGGCCGCGGTGCTGGAGTACCTGACGGCCGAGATCCTGGAGCTGGCGGGCAACGCGGCGCGCGACAACAAGAAGACGCGCATCATCCCGCGCCACCTGCAGCTGGCCATCCGCAACGACGAGGAGCTCAACAAGCTGCTGGGCAAGGTGACCATCGCGCAGGGCGGCGTCCTGCCCAACATCCAGGCCGTGCTGCTGCCCAAGAAGGCCGAGAGCCACCACAAGGGAAATAAGGGATAGGTTTGGTAAGAATAGAAAACAAACGGCTCTTTTCAGAGCCACTTATGTATTCATAAAGAAAGTGACACTGTTTGTTCCATTTTAAACTTTAACGTTACTCAGGTTAAAATCTCCTTAGGTAGCGTTTTAGTGGCTTACCTGACTACCTTGCTTGCTGGCAACATCAGAATTCCCGTTTTACTTAGCAAGTTGTTTGACATTTGTTCTATAAATTTGCAAGGTTTTAAAGGTTTAAACTCCCTAAGCCCAGTCTAGAAACAAGCAGTTGACACAGGTGTGATTTTACTTAGAGTAGTACTTCTGGTTATACACATCTTTAAGTAATCATTTGTTTTTAGTGTCTACTAAAAGTATTAAAAAAGTTTAAGTGTTGATTAAATTATCTATTTTATCAGATTGTTCAAGTAGTTCTTGACCAACTAGATGAGCCTAGGGTTGGTTGTAACAAGGGTGCCACTGGATACCGTTAAATTGACTTCAAGAGTACTAAAAATGGAGACTTCAACTACGATGAGTCCAAGACATTTTGAGAAGGGAGGTCAAAGATCCTAGTATGTTGCTGTTATCTCTATGCAGGTGATTTTAGACCTGAGACAAGGTTCGAACATTTATGCCACATCACTTTTGCCATCAAGAAATGCAAAACAGCCTATTTTTTATATAAATTTTTAATTCACTTATACTTTTAAAATTAAGGCTATACTAGTATCTACTATTAAATGGGAGAAACAAAGCATAACATTGCAAGATAAATTAAGATAATGGGGTATAAAAGACCTGTGGGGGGCCACATCTGATCTGAGGGTTAAAGGAAAAGGAATTGGAGAGGCCACCAGATAATGAGCATACATGGCTTGTGCAGGGAAGTGACAAGATGTATTTGCAAGGAGGCTGACTACAAGAAACAGGAATCAGAGGGATCTGTAGCCTACTCCTTTGGTTTAAATACTTTTCATAACTCTCCCTTTTTAACGTCCGTCCTAATCCTGCCTCCTCAGTTCAGACATGCAGCTTCATCTACTTTCTAAAATTCTCATAGACCTCCAGGGAGCAAATTTATATGCCAGAACAAATCTAATTTTCTGTGGATCCTTATCTTCACAGTTGCCATCATTTTCCACCCTAATGAGCAAGACCCCAAGAGGTCTGGTGTCACTGACTATTCATTTTTGTTTACCTGTTAGGATAGCAAACCTCAACTCCTAATACAGGGGTGATGAAAGCATATAGAAAATCCAGAAAATTTAGCTGGAAGGCAACCAGGCATGGAACTTAAAGAAATTCAGTAATGTAGTGTTACAGGGCAGGGAGAGGGCAGCCCAGACCCCGCAAACCTGCCTGCTCTAAATAGGTTCTGCCATCCGCCACATCAACACAAAACATATGAGACTTTAATGGGAAGGAACTTTAATACAATTAGGAAACAATACAAAAAAGGGAAAGAATATAGTTTCTAAATCAAGCACCCAGTGTACCCGTCCACTCGTGGGTAAAACGCCATCCAAATGGGATTGACCCAGAGCAAGGCCCCAAAGCCTGCCACAAGTCTAAGGCATCTTCCAGTGGGGACCCACAAAAAAGCATCAAAAACAACCAGACAAGTCTGGAGGGAAAAGAGCAAAACCAAGACAAAAACCGCCATTGTCACCTCTCCACGGGTCTCTCACCCACATCTGTGCCACCCAGTCCACGACCAAAAGACAAGCACAGTTTCTTCACTTGTCTCTTGGCTCCACGTCCCTCCTCCAGGTCTCCTTCTGGATCTCCATCCTGCTTCCTTCCTTCCTCATTCTCCTCTGCAGCTTCTCTTCCTACTCAGCTCCACCCTGCATTTGGGTGTGGCAGGGAATCTGGAACCTCCCCCTTTCCTGGGGACCACCCCGTTACAGTAGTACTCACTTTTGCTGAATAAATCTTCAATGTGGAGTAAATATATTGACTGCATTTCTCCAGAGGATGTCCTACCAGTGCCAGTATTGATCCATGTTCACAGGACTTCTCTTGTGGGCCCTTCCTGATTTCATAAGCTGCTTCCTTACCAAGAAGCCAAGCTTACATACTCAGCAAGTTCCTTTCCAGAAAAAGGCTGATATCATATCAGAGGGGGCACTCTTCAGGTGTTGACTCAGATTTTTCAAACAGAAGAATTGACACCAAGTTTCACACGTGGAACCCCTGGGTGCTGACTGCCACACACATGATTGGCAAATTTTAAAAAAGGTTCAATAACAACCTAGTCTAACTTTGTCTTAAAAAGATGAAAAACCTAAGAATGTATGTTACCTGTTCTAAAATGGCTTAAGATACAAGCCAATCAACCAGAAGTTTCAACGCTTGAAATATTATGTTCCACTTATAATGTGACAGAAGTCATGCTACTCATGTCTGACAAAGGTCTGGGCATGGGACAGATTCCTGAAAAGTCAGAAATATCGTCCCTGACTCCTGCTAGATTTTTCTTATTTGTTTATGGCTATTTTCTACCATTGTTAAAATACGCATTTAAAAGTAAAACTGCAAATGCCTATTGATCAATTACTGAATAACCAATTTGATGGCAAAAAAATTAGTAATTCTCTGCCAAAAGGCAGCAATTCAACATTTGGTCATACATTAGCAACTGAAAAACTTCCGGAACAACAAAAGGCTGTAAACATCCCTCCACCACATCTTTGAAATGGATTTGGGGTCTTTTGAGGCAAGGGCTAAATGGAAAAGGAAATTCTTTTGCCTTGAAGTTAAAGATAGCAGCTGGGTGGCAGACGCTAGCCATGCTCTAAGTATAAGAAAATTCCTGATAAGCCAGTAGGCAACCATAGCCGGCTCCTGCTAATTTCTTCCTGTTTGCTTAGGGCCCCTGGATCTGAATTGGTATAGTAGTTGTTAGAGTGTGCATTCAAGAATAAGTCAACAACAATTTTGTGACTGGTTGAGCTAATAACCATGGTAGCACAAATAGTGCACTTGGAAATAGTCAATGTTACAACAACTAATATGTCACGTATTAACCATTCTGGGAATCAAAAGCTATAACCATCTCTGGCCCTGCCTCCAATGAAATATTTGTAGTTCCTTAAAACAACAATCAGCAATCTTATAGAAAAAGGAATTTTCCCTTGATCTTAAAGTTAGATACGGAAACTAGGCTGAGGAGATAAGTATAGGAGTAATAGGTAGAAAAACTTGTTAGATTAGGAGAATTCCTCCATTGAGAGCTTGGGGCTAGGGAAGAATCAGTGCAGCTTGTCTGGCATTGATGCCCTCCAGGCCCTTGGTTCCTTAATATTTAATCAATATCTTATAAAAACAATATATTATTAGATGATGATTTCTATATAAAAGCCTTCTGTTTTTTGCTTTAATCATATGGTTATGTGTTAGCCTAAACTTTATAGGTTAGTTAGGAAAATCCCAGTCTCCCTCCCCCAGGTAACTTCCTGTCCTTTGTTTCCCCTAGCCCTTAATCGTTCACCATGGTAAACAAAGAAATGTTGGTTTTGTTATAGGGCAGCCCCGATATTGAACGGGTTGCCTGGCTGTGGGTCCTCACCACGCGCTTAAAAGGGACTTATTAATACTCCACTACAGGCATACACAAAAGGTTAATAAAGGTTTATTTACAAGGGAAAAGGAAATAAGGAAAATGTACAACTCAGGGAGAAAATAGGGAAATAAAGTCTTTAATGCGTCCTACCCATTCCGCCGACCTGGAAACCTAAAGGCACTCTCCGAGCTGGCCAGACGCTGCGAGCTGGCCGAGAGCCAAAATGGGGGAACCCCTCCAAAGCCCATGTGTCTGGCTTTATACCAACCTGGCTGCTTAACCCCACCCTCAGGTCCCAGCCACCTTCCTTTGATGGTGATGGGATTTGGAGTTCCCAGTGTCTTTGGCTTTGGCCTGGGGTGGGAGTGGAGTCCACAAAGCCTGTATGGAATTAGCTTTAGGACATCCTTTTCCCCCTAACAGTTTCAGTCACATAAGTTTTTTACTAGTAATAGAATGACTGTTTAGTTGTTTAAGGTAAATGACTACTCTAAGAACACTTTTAGCTATTGTGCCTTCTTTAAAACAAAGAATAGTAAATGTCACGACCTCTGCAGGAGGGCAAATAGATCCTTGGCTGTTCTTGAAAAAGATGTAATGATTGTTATCTTCCTGCTTTAATGCATATGCTTATGCACTCTCACGGTTTGCTTGAAACGTATAAAGAGCTGCTGAGACCCTCAGCAGAATGATGTCTGCACCCTAATCAAGTGTCTGCGTCTCCTCATTCCCCCCATCATTCCACAATTGCACCTCCACAGTCCCATCCTTCAGGAACCCCTGACACCCAGGCTGCTGCGGCTGGCTCGCGGCAACAATGTAGCAATATAAAATGTTGACAACATACAGTTGTAGCACTAATTTTTTTAATTTACTTATACAAGAACCAGGGTACAGGCCTTATGCGCCGGGAGAGTGAGAGGATTCACCAGAGCAGGTAACAGAACAGGCAGACTGACGAAATACACTGCTGAGGGGAACAGTGGGTGAGGCAGGAGAGGTCTGCTTTGCCACGTGCAATTCTCACCGGCTGGCCGGGATCGAATCCGCTGTGGACAGCTTCACAGTGCAGTGCTCTACCACCTGCGCCTCCAGGGAGGCCCTGGAGCACTTTCTTAATGAGTTAAAACCTAAAGGGACTAAGCCACAAATACCAGGTGTTTAGACAACTCAAGCATATTGCAGAAAATCAGACTTCTTTAAGTTTCAAAACAACTTCAGCCACAAGACTTAAAAAAGCTACAGTTCTTTTTAGTGTGCAAGTGGGAGGCCCTGAAAAGAGCCTTTTAGCGTCAAACACGACCTTGAAGTTTAGGCACGTTCCCGCGGATGCGGCGCGCCAGCTGGATGTCCTTGGGCATGATGGTGACACGCTTGGCGTGGATGGCGCACAGGTTGGTGTCCTCGAACAGCCCCACCAGGTAGGACTCGCACGCCTCCTGCAGCGCCATCACGGCCGCGCTCTGGAAGCGCAGGTCGGTCTTGAAGTCCTGCGCGATCTCGCGCACCAGCCGCTGGAATGGCAGCTTGCGGATCAGCAGCTCGGTGGACTTCTGGTAGCGGCGGATCTCGCGCAGCGCCACGGTGCACGGCCGGTAGCGGTGGGGCTTCTTCACGCCGCCCGTGGCCGGCGCGCTCTTGCGGGCCGCCTTGGTGGCCAGCTGCTTGCGCGGCGCCTTGCTGCCTGTGGAGTTACACGCCGTCTGTTTCGTGGGAGCCAGGGCCTGAAATTTCAATTGCTGTGACTGCAGGCTGGCCTCCTACTTATACTGTGAGTCAGAATCTGATTGGAGAAAGGAAAAGAAACTAGCCGATCGGTAACCGGATTGGTTAAAAACTCGATGTTTTTTTTGTCATACTCCAAATTCTCTTTTGCAAGTTGTTCCGGACCGCCATGTATTCTATTTTTCTCACAAGTTGTTTGTAATTTCAGTAAAAATAAATGCAATTTCCAGTAAAAAAAAAAATGTAAAATAAGAAACTAGCTTTTCTAGGACATGTTCCCGTTCCTAGATTGAAACAAAATACTGTTTAACCCAATATAGCCAAAACATTCGTTTTAACACGTAGTCAAGATATTTAGCATTCTTTATTTTGCATTAACTCTTCAATATCTACTGCTTTATCTGAACAGCACATTTTAATTCAGAGAAATCATCTGTCCAGTGATCACTAGTTACAATGATCTAACTTTGGGCAACAGAGCTCCATAGTTCCTGCCTTCGATTTTCTATACTTTCCAGCACATAAATTCTACGAATTCTTTTTTCAGCAAGAAAATCTGACTTTTACGTGAGAAATTCAAGGGCCCAAAATTTCAGAGAAAGGCATTCTCACAGGAATGCTTTTTAATCAGGTAATGATTCCACACTACACAATTTTCTACTCTAGAAACACTCCTTAATTCATAAATCTAACTCAACATTTTTATCTTACAAAAGGCCGAGAGGCATTTTAAAACAACTTGGTATTTTCATGCTGAAATTAAACTGAATACTTGAGAAAATACAACAAAGTGAAAACACAAACACCATAGGTTCCCCAGTAAAAAGGGTGATCGTTAAAAGATCTTAATTAGTAATGGCAGCAAGATTTATACTGATGTGACATTAACGATTCAGCAGAAATCTCAAGGCTTTATTTAACTCTTGGGCCGAGACTTGGGAGAACAATGCCTCAAAGCTATCACAACTTGGACCTGGGACCTAAGAAAGATATGTTTGATGCCCTGTTATCCGTAAATCAAGAAACCCAAAATTAACCAAACCATACACTATCACAAGCAACGAAGTACATTACCTCTTACATTACTGATGATTAATCACACAGACCGAAAAGAAAAACCACGAGACCATCTCTCATTTCCTAAGCAACTAAAGTAAAATCTGCATTTGCTCAGCTCTTCAAGGATACCGTAGGTGGCTCTGAAAAGAGCCTTTTGTTTGTATGCAAAGCTTTGAACTACGAAAGTGAAGGTTTCTATTTGCCCTTGGCCTTGTGGTGGCTCTCGGCCTTCTTGGGCAGCAGCACGGCCTGGATGTTGGGCAGGACGCCGCCCTGCGCGATGGTCACCTTGCCCAGCAGCTTGTTGAGCTCCTCGTCGTTGCGGATGGCCAGCTGCAGGTGGCGCGGGATGATGCGCGTCTTCTTGTTGTCGCGCGCCGCGTTGCCCGCCAGCTCCAGGATCTCGGCCGTCAGGTACTCCAGCACCGCGGCCAGGTACACCGGCGCGCCGGCGCCCACGCGCTCCGCGTAGTTGCCCTTGCGCAGCAGGCGGTGCACGCGGCCCACGGGGAACTGCAGCCCGGCCCGCGAGGAGCGCGTCTTGGCCTTGGCGCGCGCCTTGCCGCCCTGCTTGCCGCGTCCGGACATGTCAGCAAGAACACCAACGCGCACGGGAAGCCCTCACGCCCGCGAGGCCGACCTAAGCTACTTATAGTGGTGGCGGGGCGCGAAAAAGGAGCTGTGCGATTGGCCACTGTGAGATTTTCGTTTGCACCAATGGGGGCGCGACGATGGGGCATGCGTGTGTCGATTGGGTGAAGCCGGCGCGGTGGCGTCACCGGAGAGGAAGCACCAATCACCGGGGAGCGCCAGTCCACCTCATTTACATAAGGCTGTATATTTAAGGCGGTGCCGCCGGGCCCTGGCACTTCATTTTCCTTAATCTGTTGCTCGCCATGCCTGAGCCGGCCAAGTCCGCGCCCGCGCCCAAGAAGGGCTCCAAGAAGGCCGTGACCAAGGCGCAGAAGAAGGACGGCAAGAAGCGCAAGCGCAGCCGCAAGGAGAGCTACTCGGTGTACGTGTACAAGGTGCTGAAGCAGGTGCACCCCGACACGGGCATCTCGTCCAAGGCCATGGGCATTATGAACTCGTTCGTCAACGACATCTTCGAGCGCATCGCGGGCGAGGCGTCCCGCCTGGCGCACTACAACAAGCGCTCGACCATCACGTCGCGGGAGATCCAGACGGCCGTGCGCCTGCTGCTGCCCGGGGAGCTGGCCAAGCACGCCGTGTCCGAGGGCACCAAGGCCGTCACCAAGTACACCAGCTCCAAGTAAATTAATTTTAGGCGCTGTGGAACCCCAAAGGCTCTTTTCAGAGCCACTCACTTCTCACAATAGAGTTGCTTCACTATTCCAGTCTCTAATTTGAGAGGGTTTTTTTTGTTTTGTTTTTTGGGTAAAGGGGGGCGACGGGGAGGTTGGGGTTTTCTCCAGGCTTGCGTTTTGTATGTATTACCGATGCAGTTTGTGGTTTTAAAGAACTTTTGGTCGTGGCGATATTTAGAAACCTCGGGAGTTGGAGTTTCAACAGGAGTTCGCAGGTTTTCTTGCCATGAGGTTGGTTAAACATCTAGGAATTCAGTTAAGTGTCCCAGGTTTGCAATGCGTAATTTAAAACATTTTGCAAATGCAGGCACGAGGCGGTAGCGTTTGCGCCCTGGGCAGCAAAAGTAAAAGCTTTTCGGAAGGCAGCTTGCTTTCTGCACAGAACACCGCAGCGCTCGCTGTTCGGCAGCCCGCCTTCGCAGCACCGGGTCGCGGCGGGTGGGCGTGCTCACGTCCTGGGCCCTGTCCCGCCTCGCGGCCCCCGACCCGTCAGGCCCGCGGCTCGCGCCGTCTCTGCCGTCGCCGGACACGACCTGGAAATGGAAGTCCATGTCTAGGGAATAGCTTTCCGTGGCGGGAGGGCGCGAGGGCGGCCCGTCCCTTTCGGACCAAATTGAAAACCGGAGGCGGCCGGGCGGGAAGCCCGCGCCTGTCTCCCTCCCCCCACCCCCTCCTTGCTCCAGGCGCGAGCGGAGGAGACGGAGCCAGCTGCGGACTCCCCGAGGCCATCTTTGAGGTGAGCTGGCGCCCGCGGGGAGTGCTGCGGACGCACAAGCATTTTAGGAAAGGGAAAAAACAGAGCAAAAAGCGGGTTGACAAGGCAGTGGGTCTCCGCTTGCAGTAAACGGCAGCGGAGCCCAGGGCCAGGGAGCCCACGTTGGGTTTGGAATAAAGGGCTGACTTCTGGCTGCGCTCCGCCATCTGCTGGGACCACAGAGGAGCTGAGCCGCTCTGAGGGGATGCGCCGGTAGCGAACCCCGCGCGCCTGCCAGGTCAGTGCAGCCCGCGCCCCGCTCTTTGGGAGAGCTCTAGTGAAGCGAGTGCTGCCGCCACCTCGGCTTCTCGAGTAGAGCAAACCCCAAGTAACGAATACAGGGGCCATAGCAGTACACAGTAGGGCTGTGGGAGATTCGCCTCCGTTGCGGGGGGACGCCGCCTTGGACTACAAGTCCCATGGGCCCTTCTCCGAGGGGACGTGCTAGGGGCGGGGCTACGCGGCCGTGATCGACAGATAACGGCGCCCGCCGGCGGCCTTGGTCTGATGCTGCCTGCCGCCGCCGGTGGCCCGGTGCGCGCTGCTGCGTTACCTTTGGCCAGTTAACTCTGTCGCCTCCTCCTTCTCCCCTCGTCCCCGGGTGTCTGCTTCTGGCTTGTGTCCTGAGCCCCGAGCCCCGAGCCCCGGCCGCGAGGGCTCCCCCAGCCCCCGCCGTTTCCCCAGTGGCTGCCCTGGACCACTGGGGCCCCGCGCCTGGCCGGCCCCAGCGCCCTTCCCGATTTTGGTCCCTGGAGCGTGGCGACCGCGGGGCCCTGGCGGGATCTTTGGCTTTAATGAGGGGCTCGGCTTTCTCTCCGCACGGCCGCGGGTGACTCGAGCGCGGACTCGGGCTCCGTGGCGGCCCGGCGTGCAGCGGGTGCTCCTGTTCCCGGGCGCTGCCTGTGGGGCCCGCTTTCTGGAATCTGCTCAGAGGCCTCCTTTGGGGGCGCTGACTTGCTTGCAGAGGGGTGCACACCCTCGCCTTGGACCGCTGGGCGACTTCCGGCCGGCCTCCCGGCCTTAGGCTTAGCAAAGGCTCCCACAGGAGAGGGTCGCGGCCTTCCCCTCGCCCTCCTAGCTGTGCAAGGCGGGGGACAGGAAAACAGGGCCGTCATTTACTGGAAGCTTTGAACCCGCCAGCAGAGAACCCCTTTCGGAAGGCCAGAACCCCTCTTGTGGGGGCTGCAGCGGCTCCTCCGTCCTTGTTACCCCCACTCTCTGCACCGCCCCCCACGGGGTAGGACTCTAATGGCTTCTCACACCAGATGGGGCGCCCAGCTTGGCCAAAGGAGCTGCCCTGCAATAGGACACTCCCCACTGTGTGGATTGCGGGAACAGGGGCACCCTGCCAGCCTCTGTTGGCTATGGAGGGCTTCCTGAATTGGAAAGATCCTGTCCCTCCACACCAGCAGGATCCTGAAAGGATGGCTGACTTGTTTGCCTCTATTTTTGTTTCCCATTGTAGACGGGCAGACGCACAGTCCGTGTTACTAACCCTGTTAATTAACATCGGGTGAGCAGAGAATGGTTTTGATGAAGGCAAATGAGGAGGGAGGCTCGTCGTCGTCGTCGTCGTCGTCGTCGTCGTCGTCGTCGTCTCCACCAGCGAGATTTTAAAAAACCCTGGAACCTGAAGAGGTTGTCCCAGTGGTGGATCCTAATGGGACCCCCCAAAATGGAATGGAAAGGCTGGAATATCGTAGGAGGTGCTTATCGGGACTGTGGCACGGAATTCCTAAGCAAAGGAGGTTGGGTAAGGTGTAGAACTCCAGCAAAAGGTCCATGAGCACCCACCTGAGTTTCTTGAAAGGATTGTTTGAGCTTATAGTACTTTGACATCAACCCAGATAGTCTGGAAAGTAGATGATTAACATGACATTCATGTGTCAGAGCACTCGGATATAAGGAGGGAATCAATCAAGACCGAAGGTGCCTTAAAGATGAGTTCTTCCCAGCTTTAGAGTTTACAGTGGCGGAGAGTCAAGGA